CCCTCTCTTCCACCCCCAAATACGACCTCCCCACCCCTTGCTGGACTTTGGCCAACAGACGGTTGACCCTGCCTTCTATCACGGAACTGATTCTGCACGCCTCATGGGACGATGTCCTCAGGCAAAGTTCGTACAATTCAGTGCGCGAAAGGTATCGCGAGAGAAGTCGATTTTGTGCAATGCATACCACATTGTTTGTAAAGCCGAGCGGACTACGTTCGCAGCACAGTTTGCTCCCTTTGTCCATCACCTATGGAAGTTCAAGCATTCGGGAGAAATTCAGAAGCAACGCTAACTATGTGTTTCAAAACTTCGTCCTAACCCCTATATAAAAACACACACTTTTTGCATGCATACGCATCCACTCACCAATCGGTGTGGGCAAATGCATAAAATTTCGAATTCCTTTTTATGAACATAATAAGGTGTACATATTTCATGTATAATGTAATATTTAGCTGGAAGCCGTAGCTCCAACTTCTTACAGTCTCGTTTCAGTGCGAAGTGGTTTAAGCGAGCATTTACCATGGAGCATTCTTTTTCCTGTTACATATTTTTATATTTTTAGTGTATTATGGTCGCCCTGGAATTGTCTTTCAATATTCTGCCGCTTGTTGTAGCCTTTCTTCATCCCATGCTGATCATTTGGTGAGTATTGCTCAATTCTGTTTTTGTATGAAACCTTTTTTTGAATAATTCGGCGACGTTAGGCATCTTTTGAAGAGTATCAGCACTGATAGGTTTCATTTCCAAGCCTTCCAATTACTCAGTTGAGCTAGCAAACTACAGCTGTAGCCTAGCTTATTGGCCTAACAGCGTGAAGCACTCGTAGACTCATCATCAATGGACTGAGTTTCGCTTTCTTTGCTTGACTATTTGTAATTCAGTGTCAGAATCAGTTTCTCACTACTCTATCACCATCTGTTGCGGTCGCGGAACTTATCTAAATTTCCGTGACCACATGCCACGTGCTTATTGTACTTTGAGAGCTGACCCAGCTCTCAAAGATTCGAAAATGAATGCACAGCCTTCCACAAGAAGAGGATATTAAAGTGCTCCGAGTAACGTCAATTTCTATGCGAAATGGGTCCATAATTCCTACCTTCTGAAAAAGTGCAACACTGAAGTTGCACCGATAACGAAATTTCGAGCGTGACGAATCTCTCTAGAATCAAACGTGGGACCGCGGTTGTTTTGCGAAGAATTCAGAACAGTTCTTCTATTAAAGGCAAGATTCGGGATAAAATAGGTGTGGAAAAGCGTTCAGTTATGAAGCTATAGGTGGGAGGTGGTCTGTAAAAGAGAAGGAAAGCAAACGAAACCACCGATTACGCCCCGTACAGAGACCTCCCCTATTTCAGCCACATTCCACCTTGGGATAGAGAAGAGGCGCGTTGGACGAGTTTCACGAACCTAACTCTACTTGCTCCAGTGCCAATGACATTGGATCGCAATGGGACCGCTGCCTCAAATGCGCCCGCGCTTTTCAAGCAGCGCCACGTG